GGAGCGGGCCCGGAGCCGTCCCGGGGCGGGGTGCGGCCTGTGGGCACGGCGGCCCGGGGAGGGGGGGGACGGCAATCCCCGCCCGCGGGGGCTGCTCGGCCGCGCAGCGCCGATCCGCTTGTGCTTTCGGGGGGAGGAAACCTACAACTTCCTGTGGGCACGGGGAAAGGCTGCCGTCAGGAGAGAGAGGGGTTTGCATCTGATTGCTGTGGTTACATCCTTTTATCAACACACGGCATCAAAAACTACCAGCTGTTTCGACCCAGGATCATTTACCCGCAGCAAACCCGAGGCGCCTCTGTCAGGATGTCCCTTAGACCGTGCTGCACTTCAGGTTGGGAACGCTTGTCCAGGCCTAAAGAATTTTAGACTTAATTAAAATAATTACAAATCTCAGCACCCCCCTCCTCGCCCCCCCCCACTAACGTTCAAGATCAATATATAAATCTCCTCTGAAATTCCTAATAAAACAAATCTTCTGCAATATTTGAGGTCCCTCGATGACAGAATTAGGAATCTGCTGAAAAAAGGATTTTAAAAAGGCTTACTGAAGCTACAAAAAAAAATAAAATCTTGGTTTAAAGAAAACCATTTATTAAGAATGCTCTGTCCCAATATTTCAGTGTTATTTGTAATATTAAGGACATTACTTTGAAAACATTATTTTAATCCAATAAGAAAATTGGAAAAGGGAAACTATTTCCCCAAGAAACAAACATAAGTCCCTTGGATTCCCCCCCCAGTTTCAGAACAGATGTTACTAAACAAAGTGACTGGCCAACTCAGACATATTTTTACCTACTTCACTCTCCCACCTCCCAGAAAATCACACAAGCAAGTTTTTTCAATAATAAAAAAGCTCTGGAAAATATTTAGGGTTCCCTCTCCCAATTTCTGAGGCTGACTGAAGGTTTAGCTCACTGAACAAAACTGACAGAGCAGGAAAGCATTCTTTGCAATGCTTATGACTTTAAAATACGTAGCAGGTTACAGAAAAATCAGAATAAACTCATTCTCCCTGTAAACAACATTCCAATACATTTTGCAGATCCGTACCTCGTTAGTCTGCCTTAGTTTCCAGACAGCAGTGCCAACCCTGAACACCTATCGACCTCCTCGCTTCTCCTGCCGGCCCAGCACGCAGCGTTTGGGAGGCAAGGCAGAGGGCTGAGGTTGTACTTTGGCCTCTCTTATCTGTAAGAAAGATAAAACTTGAACAATTTAGTGTCTCTGTGCTGGGTGCAAGTCTAGTAACACCTCTTCTGAAAGCCTCTTCAGGGAATGTCAGTGTCAGACACCCCCAAATCGCCTTTGAAAAATCTTGTCATATCTGTTAGCTCTATGTGCCATAAATGTAACCTCTGTCAACAGCTTGCTGAAAGAAAAAAAAAAAAAAAGGTTATTGAGAAAGCGTTTGCTATAGTTGTAATACCCAGACCAGTATCTGGAGCTCAGCCAACACAGAAAACCTCTCTCTAAACCACGTACTCGTGCTTTGGAAGCCCACACGTGAGAGACTCCTAAGGAGAAAACAAAACATGCATAATTATACCCTTTTCCTTATTCACCCCACCCTTTCATACATGCTTACATTACCATTTTAAGCATATTCCATACTATCTATTCAAAATAGATTATAACATACAAGAACTGTGATATAATTTTCTTTATTAAAAATAATTTACAGCATCGTTAACATTTTATGCACAATTGTCATCAACTGAACTTAAGATATCTCTATACAATACTTACTGAACTTAAAACTTACACTGTTCTGTTGGCTTTAAACAGCAGACATTTATTTGCAGTTGCTTGAATATAATGAATATACATAGTTTCATGTCCGTATACTTAGGTGTAAAATGTATAAACATCAACAACTGTCCCAAAGCTTTGTAGTTTGGTAGGGGGAAGGAGGAAGAGGGGCACAGGGAGAGAAAAACATTTAGAAAAATTGGAACAGATTCTTCTCTGAATCAAAGTGGAGAGAGAAGTCTAGGTTTAATACATCTAACACACCGAGTCACTTCTTCAAAAACATACAGTTCTTCCTATGCTTTAAGATACTAGAAAGAGGTCTAATTGAACAAGGTTGTTTTGTGTGTGACCACAGAAACCTTCTGACCGTGCCACATCCCACCACTGCCAGAAAGATGTCACTCTTGTCCACCTAAAGGCCCTAGGACCCAGCAGCGTTCGAGGTTACCCGTCTTCCCTCTGCCGACCTGGGCTGTGCAGGGTTCACTGCTGCGGGAGGAGAGGGGCCAGGCACGTCACCGTCACCGTGGAGGGGCAGGCAAAGCCCTACCTTGGCTGGGGGTTGGCAGCAGGAGATGGGGACACAAGGGGGGCTGCTCCTCAGCGTAGGGACCCTAAGGGCAGGGGTTGGGCTGCACAACTCACCATGGTGCTAAGGAGCTCGGCCTAGCAAGGGGTGGGCCCACCGCAGCAGCAATAGCAGGAGCCTAAAGTTAACAGCAGCTGTGCCAAAGCCCAGCTCAGAAGCTGGCTATCACTGATCTTATGACACAGGAGTGCAGCAGAATTGAAAGAGTTGCTATGGTAATGTCTCTTAATGTCATGTCTCTTAAGAGAGATGACTAGCTTTATTGGTGACAACTTGCCAGTAAGTCACATCCCTTGAAATTGCACTTAACTTCACAATACTGATTTACCTTGACGTGTCTCCTTCTGAAGCAAGGAGTGTGTTCCTGCCCTACAGGGGCTGGGGACCATGTTCCCTTCAAGCATCAGCAGTTACACACCTTGTAAGTAGGCTTGTAGTCGTGTTTTTATTTATCATCTGCATGAGGCATCATTGTGTGCCAGCACTGAATTCCTATCTGCTCCCAATAATGAACATGCATTTGCTTGAACTGAATCAAGAATGTGACCTTGAACTGGGAAAAAAAAATAGTATTAGACACTATTGTACAAGAACTAAGACTTGCTCAGTAACTCTGGATAAAATTAGCAAGTGTGCCACAGAACAGAACCTCATTCTGTGTTCAGTTGAATATAGTATTCAAAAATGCATTGATTTATCACCCATGTCAGCAGTAGGAGTCACTGGAATGGGTTTTATCCTAAAAGAAAACCACAGCAAAACTAGTGAAGTATAAAAACAGATTATACAGCATTCAAAACTTTAGGGAACTTTGTCCAATAAAACAAAAAAAGGTGTATCAAAGTTATGCTAGTGAAGTCAAATTAATTTGGCATTTGAGGTGCCAAAAAATTAATATATTGTAATCATATAATTACGTCAGGTTTTTTAATTTTTTTTTTTAAAGGAATGTCAGAAGCCATACTATTTAAAGATTTCAACGGTGCATCTATTAGTTTGCAAGTCCACAAGCTTAGTGTCTGGTTATAGATTGAAAGCACACGTAGTAAAGCTTAATACAGCCCTCCTGAAGTTCTCCTATTTAAGATGTTTACCAAGAGCAAAAAAAAAAAAATACCTTAAAGCAGAATCTTGACAATTCATAGGCAAGTTATTGCAGTTTTGTTCTCCAAAAGCAATTAATCTCTACATAAACTGTTAAGGTGTATGATGCTTTTCAAGACACCGGAGCACAGAAGGAGCACGTTGAAGCTGCAGGCTCCCTGGCGGAGGTGAGAAGCTGTCAATGCTGTTTAGTGGTGAAACAAGCACTTGTACAGAAACTGTGCATCTTCTGTTAATATTAAATATGGAACAGGGCCTTTACCATCAACAGGCTGACAATTAAATTTATGGAAGTTGCAATGGTGTAAAAGAGTCAGATTTGTTCAGTGTTCTGGGATCTTCAGCAGAGGAATCTGCTGCTGGTTTGGGAAAGCTGTAAATGACCAGCACATTAGAAAGCATTAAAAGGCAGCATGGCTGCCTCTACTATATTAGACACAGGTCATATTTAAAGCAGAGGAATTTAAACAGTTCTAATAAATGTTTTTAAAGGTTAAAGTACTACAGGGAGGTACTTTGTCTGATGATATTGCAGAGAGTACAGTGAAACCTCATGTCAGAAATGACAAGCTGCATCCTTGAAGCAGATGTGACAAACTTCAGTCGAAGGACACTGCTGGTTTCCAAAAAGCTGGGCTGCTGCACTTAACCTGCATGAACAAAATAACTGCAAGCATTTTTTTAAATGCAGAAATGTTTCCCATAGTTTAAACACACAATATTTCATAGCGTGAGCAGTTTTACATCTGGATCCAGAGGAAATATAATCCCATAATAAAGGTAAGAAAGTCATGGTCTGTGATACAGGATACTGTGGGCCTCACACGGACTGCTTTTTGTTCAGCACATAACCTAAAGAGCAAGAAATTCAAAACTGAGTTTTAAGCACTGGATGCAAAAAAAAAAAAAAAAAAAAAAAAATTAAAACCCAAAATGTTTTCCCTTTAAATTATTTTCAGACCTAAAACTTCTAAAAAATTTCATGTC